TAGCTTACCCAGTTCTAGATATGACTAATGTGAATGGAATGCATTGATTAATTAATTTGTATTATCAAGTAAATATTAGTTAAATGAAGAACTTGGTTTAAAAAGAATTCAAAAGGATTTTGATGTGATATGTTACTTTGATTTGACAAATTAAAGTTTAAATACAGACTATTAATATAAAATAACTCACTTTGGCAGCAAGTGCAAAAATATTCTAAATTGGATCTAAGTATAGCACAAACACCTTGAAATGAATGTGGCAGTAATAGCAGAATTGCAATGAAACCAAGGGCTAGTAAAAGGAATGCAAAGTGTCAAGATACACATAGTGAAAAAAACAAGTTTTGGAAAAAAATGTGTTGAGTACTTATAAAATGAAAGGACAGACCTCGGCTCTGTTTGTTCAGACTCTTCTTTTCCTCCTCCCCCTGTTTTTCATGATTAAATGAAATGTTCAATGAGTAAAATGAATCTGAATTCTAAAGGAAAACTAGTGGGAGAAAAGGGGAGCACTCAAAATCCTTAAAAATGCAGATAAAATCTTCGTAACCTGTTGCCACTGCAATACACTTTTATGTCACGAAGAAAAGGCAGAACTAGTAATTACTTACTGTGAAGTGAGAATAAGTAAATTGCAAAATGACTGAGTGCATGAAACACATTACTGACCTTAATCTGAGCAAATCCCATTTTTCCATCATTAGCAGACAAACAAAATCAGCATTTTCCGGCTGGCATTTTTAACTGTAAAATAGCACACAGGCACACAGAGGTGTTAGAATAAATTCCTTAATACTTCTGAGGCACTTTTACTATAGAGGTAAGGGCCACATACGTAGTACTGCGTGAATAATTGATTTTTTCATTTTGCTGGCAGTCCTGAAAAATAAACAAAAAATCAAGCAGGTAGAGACAAAGAGTGGCTAAAAGAGGAGGGAACCGAGCACAAGATAAAAGCTCAATGGAAAATTGAGAAAAGAGTAGGGGAGGGAAAAGAAAAGGCACAGAATGTATTTTATTCAAGAGGAAGGAGAATGTCAGGAATAAGGCTCAGGTTGGAGGAGATGGGGAAAAATGGGAAGATCATTGGTTTGAAAGAACAGATGGAGAGGAATGAGAGAATTTATTATACCAGTGTCTGAATTACTTCATTATCTCTAAGCATGTGATTTAATGAAGGGATTTGTACACAGATTGCATCTAGAAAAATATTTTAAAATTAGGAAAAAAATAGGAGTCTGAATGTAACTGAATTAGCATTCAATAATACAGTGGAACTTCATGCTACCTCTAAAATAATAATCACAATGGATATTAAGAAGTACCTTGGGGACGTGTGGTTTATTGGTTTGCTTATTGTTAGAATTCTTGGCAGGGATTCTTCAAAGAAGCCTAAGGGAGATGGGTAAACAAATCCCACTGACATTCAGTGGGAACTGACAGCATAATACTCTCAGGCTACTTTGAAAACCCAAGCCCTTTTCTGTACCCAAATCAATATCAGCAGCTAAAAAAGTTCCTGCCTGAAACACTGTTTTGGAATTCCAGCAATTATGTGCAAGGGCTTTCTGGCTGCTTTTTGACAGTGTATTTGTACGGTAGCTCTCAGCATAACAGATTGAGAGGTTCTCTACTCATTCCATTTGCAGCTTAATATCTGGAATGGCTAAAGGACGGCACATTCTGAGTGCCACATACACAGTGCAAGCTGAACATATGTAATGCCATATGGTCTTTCAAGGGTGATGGACTTTCTTATTAGAGAAACTACTATGGGTAATATCTGTGAATTGGTGTACATTCCATTCTATTGTGTCATCAAAACAAACTAAAATAAAAATAATCAAAATATAATGTTACATTTATGAGTCTGTAGAACAGTTTGTAGTGGCTGTGATCAAGCATGTAAAGGCTAACAAATTAGAAGTCTAGATAGAGCACATATTGTTACATTCTCTATACCCTGGCAACCTTGAGGTGAATGGCAAATTCATGCTCTTATTCTGTAGAAAATAAGAGATGGCTTGTTCTCAGGGTTTTCTTATGATGAACTTTATAGGCAGAATGCCACCCCAGAGCACACGTTGTCCCCCTCTAGAAGATTATAATACAACCATTATCCTGGCCTCCTCAAAGGTAGCCTCCTAAGGTTTCAGGCTCCCAATTGTCATCTCTCTTGGGTGTAAACCTGGGTCTCTCTCCCAGATTGGGGATTTCGGCTTACAGTCCAGTCCGTCTGTACCTCACTGTGGTATCCCCAGAGCTCTAATTGGATTCAGGCATCTGTGGTTAACTATTAGCCTATACAGCAAGGTTATCAACCAGCCTTCACAAAGCAAAATACGTGTATTCTTAAGGTAAAAGCATGACAGAGAAAACATATGCAAGAATAAAAGTTTGTATAGCCATGCCAAAAGCTTAGCAGAGATCATCTATCAGCCTCATGGGGCCCTTTCCAACCCTTCCACAAAAGTTGAGGCCCTCCTTAGACAGAAGGTCCTGTCTGTTTGCTGGATCAGAAAATAGGCCCCGAGTCTGTTTAAAAGCAACTTTTTTATGCCAAAAGCCCTTTCTTTGTCTGTTGGTCTCTGGAAAACTGAGTCTGAATGAGTATATGCAAACCTCCCAAGGGGGCAGTATCTCTCTGGAAGTATTTACAACTTGATTGATTCACTTTAATCACCCCCACACAAACTGTTTTTAGTTCCTGAAGGAGCTGTGGTAACCCTCCCAACTAGTCACAGTGATACCTAAACCATTCATAAACTTAACATAATGTGCATCCCCCAAAGATACTATATGCAGCTGCAATATCCATCACAATAATCTTCCCATTTCCCACTTTGTTATTATACCATAAAATATTTGTTATTATCCCATATATCATAAAATACCATATACCATAAAATATATTGTATGTGCATTGCTGAACTAAATTTAGCTATTTGTAACTGCTTGATTTTTTTTTAGTGTTTGAGCTTGCACTTTTTGCATTTGACTAACTTTCCATTTCTGCTAGTTGTATTTAATATTCTATTTGTGTTTTCCATTTTGCTTCTTCTAATATATGTACCTCTGCTAACATTACTACTAATGACTTTCTCTCCTTTTCATCAATAAAACAAATATGCTCTAAAGTGACAGTCAGATCATGTGCTAAAAACCAATTCAATGTTTATAAGACAATATAAAGTAGACAGGAAATTTGTTCATGACCAGCAGTTGCAGCATCAGTTCACAAGGTAGAGGTGGGGGGTGGGAGAGGGAAAGACGTCTTTCTTTCTTTGTTTATAGAAAGATATTTTTTCAGTTGCTGGAGTGTAAAAAGCCATATTACCATAAGCCATAATAGGTTCATTTTGCTGTAATAGTTATACCAAAAATGCATGAAAAACTGAAACACAAGATAACAGAAGTATTTTGATAGGCAGAATGAAATAGGCCCATTGAGATGTGAGCTTATCCTCCAACAGTTTATTTCATGACCAGAGATTATTTATAATAGAAGTATTTGTGTGAGGAGCTTTGGCAAAAACCTGTGTGCACCGACAACTGAAAAAGCAGTGTAAATGACTAGCTGGGTCTAGGGGATGTGCATGGATATCTGAAAATTTATCTAGGTACCTGTACAGTTTGCCCTCATCAATTTAATATCTGAATGCCTCCAAGTACTAAAACATAAAAACGATATGGGGAGTGAAAATGCTGTGTTTGTTTTTGACAATGAAGCTGTGTCTTTCAAAAGAATAATAAAGTATTTTCCGGCGTATAAGACGACTGGGCGTATAAGACGACT